AGTTTGCGCTCAGCTTCAGCTCACTGGCGACGCGAGGCTCTGGTGGAATGCCTACTGGAGCATGCGTCCTGGTGAAAAGGCGGGTTGTACATGGGACATGTTCAAGGATCTGGTCCGCGATAAGTACTATCCTTCTTACTATCGGGTAGAGATGGAGCGCCAGTTCTTAGCGCTTCAGCAGGGCACTCGTACTGTCGATGAGTACGAGCGTGAGTTCACCAGACTTGTAGGTTTCGCACCGGATCTTGTTCGCACGGAAGCCCAGAGAGCGCAGCGGTTTATTGACGGACTTTACCCAGCAGTCCGTCACAACATCGTGGGGCACGGCACTCAGACCTACGCTCGTGCAGTTTCTATCGCCCAGGAGGTGGATGCTAGTATCAGGAGGGAGGCCGTTCGTGATCGTGTTCAGCCATCTGCCCCAGCTCAGCCATTTGCAGCTCCACCAGCTCTACCAGCCCATCAGCCAGCAAAGGAGAAGAAAAGGAAGGGAAAGGGTGCACCGAATGATCGGAGGACCCGACAAAGACAGATTCCACCATGCCCGACTTGTGGTCGTCTGCACAGGGGAGAGTGCCATATGGGACAGGACATCTGCTACTTTTGCCATGAGCCGGGACATTTTGCTAGTCGCTTTCCGAAGAGACTCCAGCAGCAGCCTCAGCAGCCACCACAACAGCAGCAGCCACGACAGCAGGCGCAGAGGCCGCCTCAGCAGCAGCAGCAGCAGAGGGGCAGGCAGCAGGCCAGGGTTTACGCGGTCGATCAGGTGGAGGCAGCTCAGCAACCAGGTACTATGTCCGGGATGGTTGTTCTCAATGATATTCCTGTGTTCGCTTTATCCGATACTGGAGCGACGCACACTTTTATTTCACGCCGATGTCTCGACGCCATTGGAGTTCATGCAGTTACCGCTGTCGATCCTCTCGAGGTGAGTTTAGCCTCGGGACGAAAGATAGTGACCTCAGCCAAAGCCTCAGATCTTAGCCTTTCCATCGGTGGCCGAGTATTGACTGCCGACGCGTTTGTTCTCGAGATGAAGGATTTCGATCTCATTCTTGGGATGGATTGGCTATATTTCTATCATGCTGACATCAGGTGTCATGACCGGGAGATTACCCTCTATCTTCCGGAAGACGAGTCGATTACTTTCTTCGGCTCCAAGAACCGTTCACTGCCTCATGTTATATCGATGGCGAAAGCCACCACGAATCCAACAGACATGCAATTTACGTGAATACATCAAGGAGTTTGAACGATTAGCCTGTCGCGTGCGAGATTGGTCCGAGGATGCGCTAGTAGGAGCCTTCATAGCTGGACTGAGATTCGATCTAGCCGCAGAAGTCCGACTGGAGTGGCCGAACACAATGCACAACGCCATGGAGGTGGCCCGCCGACGAGAAGATCATCTAGTCGCTACGCGAAGGGGGCGGGCGGATGTGCGATACGCCGACACGCGACGCACGGGGCCGAACCCAACCACGACCGGCGCACGGCCGAACATTAACAATCGGCCAGCGGGGTCGATAGTGAGGCGGCTGTCTCCTGAGGAAGTTAAACGTCGACGCGAGAAAGGTTTATGTTTCAAGTGTGAGGAGAAGTTTACACCGGGTCATCAGTGTAAACAAGCTTTTGTGATCGAAGTTGCTAATCCCGATGAGGAAGGATCCGAGAACGAGGAAGAACCACCTCAGGATATCATAGTTGAAGGGCCTGAAGAAGAAGCAGAAATCTCAATGCACGCGATGGCCGGGATACGAGATCCTCGGACGATGCGCTTGCCAGCTTGGGTCAAGGATCGAAAGGTGGTGGTACTAGTAGACAACGGGTCATCCCACAACTTCATCAATGCCGACTTGTCCCAAAAGCTGAACTTACCAACCACGAATATCGAACCCTTTGAGGTACGAGTAGCCAGTGGTGAAAGGCTGCAATGCACTAAATCCTTCCGGAAGGTGCCTATCAGGTTCAGCGGAGTTATGGTGAAGGCCGATCTCTATGCCTTACCTCTGGTTGGGCCAGATGTCGTCTTGGGGGTCCAATGGCTCGAGGGGTTAGGCAAGGTGACCACTGACTATCGAACAGGAATCATGGAGTTCAACTTCGGAGGTCAGCAAGTCACGGTCAGTACGGGCAATGAAAAAGGTGCCAAAGAAGTAGGGCTTAAGAGTATTGAGAAGGTCTGGCGGGGAGGAGGCCAAATATTTGTCGTACTAATGGAGAAGACTGAGGCGCACATGGATCAAGGGGAGCAACAACAGGGAGATGTGCATGAGCTTCTCCAGGAATTTGAGGGAGTACTAGGCGAACCTAAGGGACTACCTCCACACCGGGAATTCGATCATCGCATACCTCTGGTCAACGAACAACATGCCATACACGTTCATCCCTATAGGTACGCTCACTTTCAGACAACCGAGATCGAACGGCAAGTGGCCGAGATGCTTGAATCAGGACTAATACAGCATAGCAAGAGTCCGTTTTCTTCTCCGGTCTTATTGGCCAAAAAGAAAGACGGCACGTGGAGGTTCTGTACTGACTACCGAGCTCTAAACGCTGCAACCATCAAGGACCAATTTCCTATTCCAAGTGTTGATGACATGCTTGATGAGTTAGCCGGGTCACGATATTTCTCTAAACTCGATCTAAGAGCTGGTTAC